TTTGGAGAAAAATGCGACTCCAAGCAAATCAAAATGTGACTAAAAACCATGTGACAATGTTCAGTCTGCTCATTGGCCAGATGTGCAAGAGCAAAAGGTAAATATAGGAAAAAATATGTTATGTGACACATCTATAGTACAGATACAACCACTGAAAACTGCCACTTTCAGCCATCAGCTGACATCAGCCGATTAGAGTCCCCCCATTTAACCTTTGGTAGTTTCCACTATAAACACGCCCCTTTCCCTCAGTTGCAGAGTGTGACCAAGAGATGGCGCTTTAAACAACAACAACAACCTTGGATTATTTTCACAGCCCACTGTGTTGATTTGAGGCTATATAAATAAAACTGAATTATATTACATATTATTTTGATAACTTTCATGAAAACCTCTTCACCCATTAAAGGATAACAACTTAAGTTTTGAAAATATGAAATAAATAAAACTTTACACTCAGTTTGACCATTCAGACATTTTACACTGACCAGTGTTGGACCAGTGTTGGACCAGTGTTAGACCAGTGTTGGACCAGTGTTGGACCAGTGTTGGACCAGTGTTAGACCAGTGTTGGACCAGTGTTGGACCAGTGTTAGACCAGTGTTAGACCAGTGTTGGACCAGTGTTGGACCAGTGTTTACTGGATTTAAAAAATATAAAAAATAAAATAAACACGGGCCTGAGACAGGCGTCACCAATAATAATAATAATAATCTGCACTTGTCTTTGAACTTGACTGTTTTTCTGCATTTTCAGGACCTCAGTGTTGAAAGTCCGTGTATCGTGTGTTCCCCACAGGTAACACCACCTACCTTTGGGAGTTTCTGCTGGAGCTTCTGCAGGATAAGAACACGTGTCCCAGATACATCAAGTGGATGCACAGAGAGAAGGGCATCTTCAAACTGGTTGATTCAAAGGCTGTTTCTAAACTGTGGGGTAAACACAAAAACAAGCCTGATATGAACTACGAGACTATGGGCCGGGCCCTAAGGTGAGCGGTTTTACTCCATGAGCACATCACAGTCTGCACTCTTGATTTACCAGGACACGATGATTAAAGACAGAGACGCAAACAGACAGAAAGACCAAATAATGACGCACAATTATTTTATGAAATCAGAGGGAAAGTAGTTTGTTTTTACTCACATGAGTTTTGACCGCCTATCCTGATGTTCTGGAGAGTTTATACTCCATTTGTTGTTTCTGTGTAGGTATTACTACCAGCGTGGCATCCTTGCCAAAGTTGAGGGTCAGCGGCTGGCCTACCAATTTAAAGACATGCCCAAAAACATTCGAGTGATCGATGATCACGAGGAGGCGGAGGAAGTGGAGGACAGCGAGACCGTGGTATCCGGTCAGACTCTGGCTCGCCAGCAGGGCCAGGCCACCCTGGGCGCTACGTCTCTCACCACCTCCCAGCCTCAGCAGACCTACGTCACTGTCATCCCCAGCAACACCACCACCAGGTCAGACAAACATGCTTATTTAGTCTTCCTGTGCCCTGCAGAAAGTGATTGTCCTACTCTAAACAAATACATACATTAAGGCTAATTTTCTCTACTGCTCTACAAAACTGTCAAAGACTGTTTTAGGGGAAACCTTGAACCTCTGGTCTTATACAGGCCCAACAGAAGAAAAGATCTTTTTGGATGTGGTGCATTTATCAGCATTGAGCACATTTAGTGTGGATCCTGACATTTTGTGTGTACGTGTGGTGATTTTATTTCTTTATGTATTCAGTGTTTACTTTTCTGCTTGTCTGTCCCTGCAGGCCCATCCGAGCTATGCCAGTGGTCATGACCAACTCGCTAGGTCAAATGGCGTTAAACTCTCCACCCATCCTCACAACTACTACAGGAGTCCCGGTGACTGTAGCGAGCACCTCTGCTAGCACTGCCCCTAAACTTGTGATCCAGGCACTGCCCACCATGCTTCCTGCGGGGTCAAAAGCAGGAGAGAAGATCACCATCATCACAATCCCAGCCAACCAGCTGGCGACGCTCATGCAGGCCAACCCGTCAGGCCAGGTCACGCAACTCATCCAGGCCAAACCGGTCACTGCACAGCTCGCGCAGGCCGCCATCAAACCGCAGCTCATCCTGGCCAAACCGGCCACAGTGGCTCAGGCGCTGCCACAGATGTCTGTGCAGTCTCAGTTAGCCCCTACCAAAAGCTCCATTCAGCCCCCAAAGCGTGACGCAGTACAATCAGACGTGGCAGCAGAGGCCCTGCCCACCTCCAGCTCGCCGGCAGTGTCAGTGGAAAAACTATCGTCCTGAGAGCCAGGGTCCCCGAGGGGGTGTGTGTGGAGAGGGATGTACAGAAAGTGACTGTGGACACTCCTGAGGAAGTGCAGGGAACATCCCACACCACCTCCTCCTGACACATAACTGAGCTGCTCCCTTATTGGCTTAGACCGTCCGACCGGCGCTGGTCTCGAGGGAGACGCTTTGACTATCTGGCTGCTGAAGCCTCGCAGAGGACGAAAGGGACTTAAACATCCACATTGATGGTTCACAGCTCAGAAACGTGGGCAGCCTTAGATTGTAAATGACAAGTTGTTTTTGTAATCAAAGCTAACATAAGAGGCTAGCAGGAGCTTAAAAAGGATTTTTGATACTCGTATGTATCAGTACACATGTAGTTTGAATTCCTCTGTAGCCCCTTTCACATTTGGGTTACAGACTTAAGGCTGTAAAACTTTAAATGGCAGAGTGAGTGGGGGCATCGCTTTAGACACATTCACAATGACTGAAACTGGCGCTTGTTTCAGGCTTTCATGGGTCTGCAGAGCTCTCCTAAACCCAACAGGACTGTCACTATTTCCCACTGTTATCCTCTTTTTTACTGTCCCTAGAGTGGGGGTCAAGGATATCTGCATCCAGAAAAAAGAACTGATTGTGTGCTCCGCAGAAGTATATTATGATTTTTTTCTTGTACTCTCAGTGTATTGAAGTAGATTTTACTGAAATATGTATAAAACAAATGTTAATTCAAAATGTCTGGAGTGGGTTCATTTAACCATCTGAACAGTAGCTTAGTGGTTTATTAAAAAGCTCTGATGGACACCAGGTCGGTGCTGCTAATGGCCACAGAAACATGCTGAGCTGCTCCTGCTCACCCTACAGATTCAGTCCAGTGTCCGTGCACAAAAAGTATTCATGGCTCCTATTAGTTTACCTAGGAAATAGCCCAATATGTGAAACATCTACAACCAGCTCTCATATTTTATACACAGAAGTGTACTGCCTGTTGGTGTTGTTAGTGTCAATAACTCCTGGGTCTGAAAAATGAAGCCAGTACTGAAGTGCCAAGAATGCAGTTTTTCCAATGACCACTAGGGGCTCTAAAAGAGCGTCATCAAATCAAATATCCAGCAAATGAAATTAGTTGGGGAGAAAAGTCGTCAATGAACAGTAAGTGTGGGTAAAGTCATTCCAGGCTTCTAATTGGTTCTAAAAGAATCTTGTTGGGTAATTCTTATTTCCTCTCCTGCTCTTCAAAGCATGTGACAGGTTTCAGGTCTGTGTAGGTTCACATCAGTTCTGCACATCTGGAAACTCGAGGCTTCTCATCTCAGCAGCTGGACTGTTGACACACGTTGGTTCAACAATCTCATGTTGATTCTTGCAGCAGAATCAACAAAGTAGTTTGTCTGGCTGTGTTTCAGTCTTTGGTTGTCCGTCTTGTGCCTTCTTTGGTGGCGACCCTGTTTCCCCAAAGACTGGCTGGGCTCTCCCTTAGAGATGGGGTGAGGAGCTTGGCGGGCCTAAAAGTAGAGCTGCTACTCCTCCACATTGAAATGTGCCTGTTAAGGTGGTTCGGGCACCTGACAAGGATCCTCCTAGGCGAGACCCCGGTGCAGATCACATGCTGGAGACATTACATCTCTTGGCTGGCCTGAGAACGCCTTGGTGTTCCCCAGATAAGCTAGAGGAGGTGACTGGGGAGAGGTAGGGAGGTCTGGGCCTCTGCTTAGGCTGCTGCCCCTGTGACCTGGCTCTGGATAAGCAGCAGAAAATGGATGGAATGGAGGGTATTAAAGATTAGAGTCTGTATTAGTCTTGGCAGTCAAATTCACTTTTTATTATGGCACACAAAGTCCACAAACATGGCAAAAAAGCAAATATTTCACTCAAGATGCTGTTTGAGGATACACAATGTATTAGATTTTTGCATTAGATTTTTTTATGACACAACAGTGGTGAGTGTTCCCACCTTCTGCTCTTTGTAACTTAACGCCATCTTTCCGTTTTCGAGTTTTGGACATGATTGTGGAGGATATCTTCGCAGTAACGATTCACCGCAAAGTAAAGCTACCGGAAATGTACAACCCTACATCCGGTCTCAAACCAGGAAGTTAGCATTTTCTCGTGCACAGGGTCAATACTGCCAACTTTTCCAGAGATGTGAAAACTGCAATATACAGAACATACAAATATACCAGTTAAACGCAACAATGTTTCAAAAAGGACAAGAGATGATTGCTTCAGTTTGTCGCAGATCAAAGTGGAATGAATGTGATTGGTTGAACAGGTGTTCTTGCTTTGGTGTTATCCATCAGTGTAAGAGACTCAGCTGCAGATTAGAATCAAGCACAATAACATTTATACATTTAATAAATCACCTTCCTTCCCACTGTCGCCAAAGTGCTTTCTCACAGGGGGTCAAATGATTGTTGCAGTTTTCCTTGTACTATCTTACATTACAGTATAAGCTTCCAGTTCACCTCAGTGCTTCATAACCTCATAACCTCTATGTGTATCTGATCTTCTCCATACGTACTCACTGCTCTTCTTCAGCTTCCCTTCTGTCTGTTCCACCTGCTCCACTTCCACATCTCCGGACTACAAACCCTCTACTTTTAAATTGCAGCTTAAAACCATCTATTCAGAATTGACTTCATCATGACTCCGTCTTAGTCTATTTTTACCTTGTTTAGCTTTTATGCTTACAGACTTGTTTTATTTTTGTTTACCTTATGTTTTTATTTTGGTGTACTAATGCAGAGGTTCCCAAAGTGTGCGGCCCGCCCCCTGGGGGGGGAGGGGGCACAGAGCCATTGCAGGGGGGGCGCTGTATGAAAAGCAAAAAAGAACGCTCGGACGCTGCTAGCATAATGGACAAGTTTTTGACGGGGCGCCGACACAAACGCAAAACAGGAGATGAAGCATCGCTGAATATGTTTCCAAGCCAAAGACTAGAAAATATGATGA